GGCCAGCTACAGAAATCCCATGACCACCGGCGTCCACTTCTGCGCGCGTACCCCGCGCTCATGTTACCACTACCAGGCACCTTGCAGGTAGTATGCTAGTGAGAGCATTCCAAGCAGACAGAGTGCACACAAACTGCCCACTCACCCATCTACAAATTCTATGAGGCCCTTGTCTACCGAGAGACCTGAAAATCTAGACGCGCAAGGATCAATGAGAACAAAGAATTACCGATGATGGTTCTACCTACAATGATGTGCACGTGCCTGGATCCCACTCCCCATTGAAACAAATGCTAATACTTGGAGCGGCGGCACAACCAATTACAGCCGACATGATTCCCACTTTCTGGTCCCACAACGTTTTGGCCGCATCACATGTTAATTTGCTCGGACAGCCAAGGCCGTATCACGTATTGGTGACCGGGCACAACCAATGGCGTGAAACCGCTACAGAATACTACGAGAAATAGGTACCACAGTCGCAGCAGTGCGCCCCCAACCGACGACACCGTGACCTCCCCCGCCGCGGCAAACCGCTGCGCTCAAGAGCAAGCTGCCACGATAAGCCTGAGCATCTCCTCCGATGCCTGGACTCCTTCGGACTTGGCCACCGTGAACTGCTCCGGGTTTCCCTTGGCCGCGGCCTCGACGGACTCGGAGGAAAAGGTGGTGATGAAGGCCCCCTTCCCCATAGAGTTGGCCTGCAAGACGCCGCCGCCGCCGCCACCGCCGCCCCCGTTGCCGGCGCAGTCACCGCAGACCGGACGCAGATTGAACCCAAGCAAGGAAGAGAGGCATGAGAACAGAAAAGCCACGGCGCGAGAAGAAAAGATGCGTCGTGTTGGTCGAGCCAGTCGCGCTCCTTGCCAATTCGTGCGCTTTTTTATGGGGTTACGTGTACAAACGGCAAGCATGGTCTCCAGCACAGACGGGAAAACGTTCCAGCCCCAACACAAGGCCATATCCTTTCGTAGCTCACGGAATCGTGTGCAAAGAGGCAACCAAAATGTCAACCGACGACCATGTAGGATGTGTCGCGACCGGTGTGGTCTACCAATAGAACTAACTGAGCGCGCTCTTAGCAGGGATGGCCTCATCGACAACAACGGGGTATACAAGCCAAACCCAAACTCGATACTTGCCGTGCCAGTCTCTCTCAAATGCGACAACCGAAGTAGTTGCGAGATCCGACGCTGGTGCTGTATCAGCCCCGGCCCCGGGGCTCTGTGACCGTTGGGCTGGAACCCAAAACAAGCGCAACAGACGGCCCCTTCGCAACGAGAGCGGTCCGTGAATACAGCACAGCACTTAGATCCAAAAACACGCTCTTCCGCGCTCACCAGGGCGATGTCGTTGTCATCGTCTCCCATGGAAGCGCAGTTCGCCAGAGGAATGTCGAAGTGCTCCCTTGCCAAGAAGGCCGCGGCGTTGTGCTTCCCGCTCCGCAACGGGCAGATGTCCACCAAGCCGAAGTTTGTCACGAAGCGCAGGTCGGAAGGCAGAGAGGCCAACAGTTTTTCCATGGCTGCTTCACCCCCCCGCTCCCCCTCCTCCTCCTCCTCCTCTTCTTCCTGTGGACCCTCAGCCCCTTTTCCCTCGGGATTCTCTCGAGCCGGTTTCTTGCCGCCCGTCTTCACCTTTATCCTGGATCGAGCGGAGCAGGATCGAGCGGAGCGGGGGCAATCAAGGGATTGTTGGGTTTCCTCAGGAGTCTTCAAAACCAAGAAAGAGAGTCCGTGCTGCTGCTACCACCCAAAGGGGCGCTCCTGCAAAACATTGTAGGGAATATATTCAGCAAAAGCAGCAACGCCTTGTACAAATATCCTCCAACACAGTGATCGACCGCATCGTCAGCTTGTCCCGGACACGTCAAAAAATGCCGCGAAAGCGATCACCTAATCATGGTGTAGTAGGTGTTTGTGTCCACCTCGAAGCCCTCGGCAACAGCGGCCCGGTACACGTCCCAGAGGGGGCCCTCCCTGTCCTCAGGCGCGATCGCGTCCTGTGACGCCGGCCCGGTGGCGCTCTCCATCGTCTCCCTCCACTTCAGGTCCTCCGTGAGCGCTGATGCCGCGTGCGCCGTCAGCGTGGGGTCTCCAACCGCGGACCTCTCATCCGGGCAGGAAGGTTCTCCGCTGCCTCCTCCTCCTCCTTCACCGCTGTTGGCCTCCGTGTGCCCCTTGTCCCCGCTCCCCGCAGCGGCCGATACCGAAGCGACATCCTTTTTCGGGTAGAAAACCCGGCCCCCGTTCTCGATCACGTAGGCGTCGGCGCGCGGGAGGAACGGGAGGCGGTTCACGAACGTCGAGTAGCGGGTGCCCGACACGAGCACCAGGCGCGCGCCGCTCGCCCGCACTTGCGCCGCGAGCTTCAGGGTTTCTATTGAGATTCGGGCCTTGCGTCCGGTTGCGGATTCAGGGAGAGAGAGGACCTCCGGCATCCCGGGTGCGTCAGCCTCGCTTTCGTAGTAGTGCACAAGGGTCCCTGCTTCATCCGTCAAGATTCGGATTGGGTAAGTGTTTGAACGGCATGTCGTCGTGAGGGTCAAAGTTTTGTCAGGCAAGCATGCTACGACCTAATACTCCACTCTATTGAGTGGGCTATAGTAACGTTGGACGCAATGGTCGGAACGGAAGAGAGCTGCATCAACGCCGAGGAACGCGTGTACCGTACAGCCAGCATCCTCTGCGAAGATGACTGAGGGGCTGATTTGATGGAAAGAAACTGGCATCACGTTGAGCACCGAGGGTTGCGGGGGATCTGGCCGACAAACCCCAACCTTTTTAAGAACGCGAACACCATCGAAATAGGTTGCAGAAACAACCGCCGCAGCCCAGCCCTAACAACCATCAATCCTTACCGTCGATGTCTGAAAATAGGCAGCGTATGCTACCCTTGCCGGAACTACTGCTGTTGCGAAGGCACATCGAGAAGAAGGCGAGCGACGGCAACGACAGCGCGAACAGGCGAAAGCATCGGAAGGCGGTGTTTGGTTCATATTCTGCACGTGTTTCTACGCGTAAAGCCATCAATACGGCCTCAAATACATCCGCACACCCACACCTCTGAGTGCGGCGGGGGACCGAGGCATCGGTATCCTGTTCAACTTGGGACACTTGACAAAATCATCAACAGGTTAACAAAATGACAAACATCACGCAGACATCCGTTTACGACAAGGCGTCCCATGATGACGGAGTCACAGGCTACGGTCGGCGGTGCAGAGGATTCCTGCTTGAATATACTGCGCGTGGCTTCAAGATGGCCATGGAACGGTGGCACATCGCTAATAGCGGTCCGCGGGGGCGACACTCGAAAGGGCTCTGTGTTGTTGTTGTTGTAGTTGTAGTTGTAGTTGTTGTTGTTGTTATTGTTGTTATTATTGTTGTTGTTTCTCACATTAGCTCTATAGTCCACAATAAATGGGGAGCCCGTGGTCTCAACACCCGGCACAAACAACGCCGCGGGTAGACACACAGGTAGTTTTCTCTGACGCTATGATTCCATTGTTAATCTGTCTCTGACTCTTTTCTATGATAGAGATGGACTCGTTGTGTCATATTAAGAAAAATAAAAAATGAGAACATCTGGAGTCGGCCCCGCGAGGTAGCCCAGATGCCCCTGAAAACCGGTGGCATGCTAGCGGTGCTGAACTGGCTTGGGTGATGCGCTACCTTCGGGTGGCTCGCTGTCTGGGGACGATATTTTTCCTGGCACCAGGAATCAAAAAGGCTACGTTAGTACACGTCGATCAAGTTTGGTGGTTTGCCCCCACAAGGCTAATCACTTCTCGAGGTCTGACCCACCAGGGTGATATCATGATAGCACTAAATTAGCTAGTTAATTTGCTTGTGCTCTTATACATATATTGACAACCTTCGTCGGTGTCCGACAAGGAATATCCTCATGTGATAACTTACTACTATGCCCAAATA